AACTGACACTAATGAGTGATTGCTACTAACATCAAATTAATCTAATCATTCTGAGGAGGAGTATCGCTGTTCGTCGGTTCTAAATGTTGGACTTTGACCCGTGTTTGCCCCCCAGGAATTATGTCGGAAAAACCGACACCATTTACAAACATTTAAAACAATAGGCAGATAATATTGCTGCTGTTTTGTAATAACAAATTAACCCAAGAAATAGTGCTTTAATAACTCGTAGAGAACGAGAGCACAGTGGAAATTTCCTCCAGTAGAAAACGGTGGATATCATTGCCACGTCGTTATTAAATTCAGCGGTCACATGATGGGAAACAACCTTACTACGTCCGTCTTTGGACTGTAAACATCATAAAAACATTTCCCTTGAATCAACTTAATTATCAGTACCAAAATAGAGTAAATGTGGTCCTTACAGCCACCTCTTGACGCATCATGACAAGCCGCTGGACGAGTCACTGGGAACGAGGCCACAGTCAGTCGCCATATTACTTTTGACACCAGTCGGTGGGGGCCAATCTAACCCCTATAATTCCCCCCTTGGACAGCAGTGTTACGGGACTAAGAGTGGTCCCATTATCAACACCAACTACGTCTATTATAATGGAAGTGTTCCAGATGAAACCCATTATAAATCGCGACATTCCTGGCCAGTTGTGTGAAGGTTAGGTTAGGGTGGCGCGGTAGGAACACTAGACAGCGACCAAAACAGGGTGAGCAATGTTCTCATCTCTTGATTGAAATAATTATATATATTTCGCCTGGTATAGCTGTCATATAAATAAATAAATAAATAAATGTTTATTTAGGTAAGGTACATACATACAAGAGACTTTACAAAGTTTGTTGGATTAATACATAGAGCTAGTACACACAATGCCTAAAGCCACTATTACGCAAAGCGTTTCGGGCAGACCATATATGATGCGTTTCGAACAGACCATATATGATGCGTTTCGGGCAGACCATATATGATGCGTTTCGAACAGACCATATATGATGCGTTTCGGGCAGACCATATATGATGCGTTTAGGGCAGACCATATATGATGCGTTTCGGGCAGACCATATATGATGCGTTTAGGGCAGACCATATATGATGCGTTTCGGGCAGACCATATATGATGCGTTTCGGGCAGACCATATATGATGCGTTTAGGGCAGACCATATATGATGCGTTTCGGGCAGACCATATATGATGCGTTTCGGGCAGACCATATATGATGCGTTTCGGGCAGACCATATATGATGCGTTTCGGGCAGACCATATATGGTGAGTTTCGGGCAGACCATATATGATGCGTTTAGGGCAGACCATATATGATGCGTTTCGGGCAGACCATATATGATGCGTTTCGGGCAGACCATATATGATGCGTTTAGGGCAGACCATATATGATGCGTTTCGGGCAGACCATATATGATGCGTTTCGGGCAGACCATATATGATGCGTTTCGGGCATCATATAAGGTTACTGCTATTATTTGTGGGGTGCTCTCTGACAGGTGTAGTTGAAGAGGAAGAAGAATTAACAGTAGTTAGCTACTACACCAGTACATGTTGTTAGTGACAGCCTCAACAACCATGATTGTTTGGCACGATCATCCTTGTTCATCACTGGTGGACCAGGCCCACGATATACAGACAAGACTTCCTCAGTGTTAACTAATACCTTCTAGTTGTAATTTAACAACTGGCATTAATATTACAGAGAATGTCTACCAACAGGTAACTTCGATTGATAGACTACATAAATAAACCCAAACTCCCCAGAATGTGTAAGGAAGCGATTTGTGGGAATTTTTAAATCATACAGTCATACAGTCCACTTTAAGCATCATAGAGTAATAACGGAAAATATACGTAAAATGTAAATTATTATATAAATTAATATAAATTGAATAAATATAAATCCCACAGGACAGTTTCCTTACATACAGCAAGTGCTTGAAGGAGGACCTCATCTACCTGAATATAGAGACAGAGGTGGAGCTTGAGGGCCAGCTAGTGCTTGAAGGAGGACCTCATCTACCTGAATATAGAGACAGAGGTGGAGCTTGAGGGCCAGCTAGTGCTTGAAGGAGGACCTCATCTACCTGAATATAGAGACAGAGGTGGTGCTTGAGGGCCAGCAAGTGCTTGAAGGAGGACCTCATCTACCGGAATATAGAGACAGAGGTGGTGCTTGAGGGCCAGCAAGTGCTTGAAGGAGGACCTCATCTACCGGAATATAGAGACAGAGGTGGTGTTTGAGGGCCAGCTAGTGCTTGAAGGAGGACCTCATCTACCGGAATATAGAGACAGAGGTGGTGCTTGAGGGCCAGCTAGTGCTTGAAGGAGGACCTCATCTACCTGAATATAGAGACAGAGGTGGTGCTTGAGGGCCAGCTAGTGCTTGAAGGAGGACCTCATCTACCGGAATATAGAGATAGAGGTGGTGCTTGAGGGCCAGCAAGTGCTTGAAGGAGGACCTCATCTACCGGAATATAGAGACTGAGGTGGTGCTTGAGGGCCAGCTAGTGCTTGAAGGAGGACCTCATCTACCGGAATATAGAGATAGAGGTGGTGCTTGAGGGCCAGCAAGTGCTTGAAGGAGGACCTCATCTACCTGAATATAGAGATAGAGGTGGTGCTTGAGGGCCAGCTAGTGCTTGAAGGAGGACCTCATCTACCGGAATATAGAGACAGAGGTGGAGCTTGAGGGCCAGCAAGTGCTTGAAGGAGGACCTCATCTACCGGAATATAGAGATAGAGGTGGTGCTTGAGGGCCAGCAAGTGCTTGAAGGAGGACCTCATCTACCTGAATATAGAGATAGAGGTGGTGCTTGAGGGCCAGCTAGTGCTTGAAGGAGGACCTCATCTACCGGAATATAGAGACAGAGGTGGAGCTTGAGGGCCAGCAAGTGCTTGAAGGATGACCTCATCTACCGGAATATAGAGATAGAGGTGGTGCTTGAGGGCCAGCAAGTGCTTGAAGGAGGACCTCATCTACCTGAATATAGAGATAGAGGTGGTGCTTGAGGGCCAGCTAGTGCTTGAAGGAGGACCTCATCTACCGGAATATAGAGACAGAGGTGGTGCTTGAGGGCCGGCAAGTGCTTGAAGGAGGACCTCATCTACCTGAATATAGAGATAGAGGTGGTGCTTGAGGGCCAGCTAGTGCTTGAAGGAGGACCTCATCTACCGGAATATAGAGACAGAGGTGGAGCTTGAGGGCCAGCAAGTGCTTGAAGGAGGACCTCATCTACCGGAATATAGAGATAGAGGTGGTGCTTGAGGGCCAGCAAGTGCTTGAAGGAGGACCTCATCTACCTGAATATAGAGATAGAGGTGGTGCTTGAGGGCCAGCTAGTGCTTCAAGGAGGACCTCATCTACCTGAATATAGAGACAGAGGTGGAGCTTGAGGGCCAGCTAGTGCTTGAAGGAGGACCTCATCTACCGGAATATAGAGACAGAGGTGGTGCTTGAGGGCCAGCAAGTGCTTGAAGGAGGACCTCATCTACCGGAATATAGAGACAGAGGTGGTGCTTGAGGGCCAGCAAGTGCTTGAAGGAGGACCTCATCTACCGGAATATAGAGACAGAGGTGGTGCTTGAGGGCCAGCTAGTGCTTGAAGGAGGACCTCATCTACCGGAATATAGAGATAGAGGTGGTGCTTGAGGGCCAGCAAGTGCTTGAAGGAGGACCTCATCTACCTGAATATAGAGATAGAGGTGGTGCTTGAGGGCCAGCTAGTGCTTGAAGGAGGACCTCATCTACCGGAATATAGAGACAGAGGTGGAGCTTGAGGGCCAGCAAGTGCTTGAAGGAGGACCTCATCTACCGGAATATAGAGATAGAGGTGGTGCTTGAGGGCCAGCAAGTGCTTGAAGGAGGACCTCATCTACCTGAATATAGAGATAGAGGTGGTGCTTGAGGGCCAGCTAGTGCTTGAAGGAGGACCTCATCTACCGGAATATAGAGACAGAGGTGGAGCTTGAGGGCCAGCAAGTGCTTGAAGGATGACCTCATCTACCGGAATATAGAGATAGAGGTGGTGCTTGAGGGCCAGCAAGTGCTTGAAGGAGGACCTCATCTACCTGAATATAGAGATAGAGGTGGTGCTTGAGGGCCAGCTAGTGCTTGAAGGAGGACCTCATCTACCGGAATATAGAGACAGAGGTGGTGCTTGAGGGCCGGCAAGTGCTTGAAGGAGGACCTCATCTACCTGAATATAGAGATAGAGGTGGTGCTTGAGGGCCAGCTAGTGCTTGAAGGAGGACCTCATCTACCGGAATATAGAGACAGAGGTGGAGCTTGAGGGCCAGCAAGTGCTTGAAGGAGGACCTCATCTACCGGAATATAGAGATAGAGGTGGTGCTTGAGGGCCAGCAAGTGCTTGAAGGAGGACCTCATCTACCTGAATATAGAGATAGAGGTGGTGCTTGAGGGCCAGCTAGTGCTTCAAGGAGGACCTCATCTACCTGAATATAGAGACAGAGGTGGAGCTTGAGGGCCAGCTAGTGCTTGAAGGAGGACCTCATCTACCGGAATATAGAGACAGAGGTGGTGCTTGAGGGCCAGCAAGTGCTTGAAGGAGGACCTCATCTACCGGAATATAGAGACAGAGGTGGTGCTTGAGGGCCAGCAAGTGCTTGAAGGAGGACCTCATCTACCGGAATATAGAGACAGAGGTGGTGCTTGAGGGCCAGCAAGTGCTTGAAGGAGGACCTCATCTACCTGAATATAGAGACAGAGGTGGAGCTTGAGGGCCAGCTAGTGCTTGAAGGAGGACCTCATCTACCGGAATATAGAGACAGAGGTGGTGCTTGAGGGCCAGCAAGTGCTTGAAGGAGGACCTCATCTACCAGAATATAGAGACAGAGGTCGTGCTTGAGGGCCAGCAAGCAGGGCAGATAGTGCTTGAAGGAGGACCTCATTTGCAGGAATATATAGAGAGAGGTGGTGCTTGAGGGCCAGCTAGTGCTTGAAGGAGGACCTCATCTTACCTGATCCACGGAACGACAGCATCAGTGACATGCTTGCCGGCGGCTCCCACGTCCTGCGACAGCCTCCGTCCCCTGGGGGGTGGACAGAGGCATCAGGTCTCCATTAACAACCACTCCACACAATACTGATCTACATTAACACATAATAAGTCATAACAGATCAATGTACACACAGCTAGAGGAGCACTATACAAGGTGAAGCACATATTTACAGTATAGGTAAGTCAGCATACATACAACACACACATAATCTAGGCATGATTCAGAAGTCCCATAGTTGGTGTATGGACAAGCACCACACACGTGAACGAGCATACACAGAACTGTAGTACCAAAAGCCTTAAAGCACAACCGCTTTGACGATCCTCAAAATGCTACCGAGGCGATTGGCTCATTTATTAGCCCTATGTTCAGCCCCTTAACGATCCAGTGGTTAAGGTTCAGGGAGAGTGGTCCCTGAACCAGCGGTGTTCAGTGGTGAGAGGTAAGAACAAGAAGAACACTTAGGTAAGAACAAGAAGAACACTTAGGTAAGAACAAGAAGAACACTTAGGTAAGAACAAGAAGAACACTTAGGTAAGAACAAGAAGAACACTTAGGTAAGAACAAGAAGAACACTTAGGTAAGAACAAGAAGAACACTTAGGTAAGAACAAGAAGAACACTTAGGTAAGAACAAGAAGAACACTTAGGTAAGAACAAGAAGAGCACTTAGGTAAGAACAAGAAGAACACTTAGGTAAGAACAAGAAGAACACTTAGGTAAGAACAAGAAGAACACTTAGGTAAGAACAAGAAGAACACTTAGGTAAGAACAAGAAGAACACTTAGGTAAGAACAAGAAGAACACTTAGGTAAGAACAAGAAGAACACTTAGGTAAGAACAAGAAGAACACTTAGGTAAGAACAAGAAGAACACTTAGGTAAGAACAAGAAGAACACTTAGGTAAGAACAAGAAGAACACTTAGGTAAGAACAAGAAGAACACTTAGGTAAGAACAAGAAGAACACTTAGGTAAGAACAAGAAGAACACTTAGGTAAGAACAAGAAGAACACTTAGGTAAGAACAAGAAGAACACTTAGGTAAGAACAAGAAGAACACTTAGGTAAGAACAAGAAGAACACTTAGGTAAGAACAAGAAGAACACTTAGGTAAGAACAAGAAGAACACTTAGGTAAGAACAAGAAGAACACTTAGGTAAGAACAAGAAGAACACTTAGGTAAGAACAAGAAGAACACTTAGGTAAGAACAAGAAGAACACTTAGGTAAGAACAAGAAGAACACTTAGGTAAGAACAAGAAGAACACTTAGGTAAGAACAAGAAGAACACTTAGGTAAGAACAAGAAGAACACTTAGGTAAGAACAAGAAGAACACTTAGGTAAGAACAAGAAGAACACTTAGGTAAGAACAAGAAGAACACTTAGGTAAGAACAAGAAGAACACTTAGGTAAGAACAAGAAGAACACTTAGGTAAGAACAAGAAGAACACTTAGGTAAGAACAAGAAGAACACTTAGGTAAGAACAAGAAGAACACTTAGGTAAGACCACTTACTTATCCTTGAGTTCCTGAGACAGGCGTCGAGTGAATGTCATGTCTAGTGACGAGTGAATGGTCCTGACGTGGCCCAAGATGCCAGACGAACTCTCAGAGCTCATCTTCACTCTATACACCCCTAGAGCTCCCTAGAGTGCTTCCCAGAGCTCCCTAGAGTGCACACCAGAGCTCCCTAGAGTGCACACCAGAGCTCCCTAGAGTGCACCCCAGAGCTCCCTAGAGTGCACACCAGAGCTCCCCAGAATGCGGCACCAGAGCTCCCTAGAGTGCACACGAGAGCTCCCTAGAGTGCACACTAGAGCTCCCTAGAGTGCATCCCAGAGCTCCCTAGAGTGCACACCAGAGCTCCCTAGAGTGCCGGCACCTCACTTCCTCTAGAAGTCATCACACCTCTCTGGCTTCAGTCCATGGAGCTTGGCTCTATTGGGTCAATAGAGCGGATAGATTTGCTTCTATTCTTATGTTCTGGTGTTCTTGAGACGTGTTCTTCCTCCGTGTTCTTATGTTCTGGTGTTCTTGAGACGTGTTCTTCCTCCGTGTTCTTAAGATCAGGGAAGATTTAACACTTAAACACTCGTGTGGTTTCACTTTAACAAATTGATCTTTTGATTGTGATTTTTGTCGGTAAATTTTGTGTTTTTCAATGTTTATTAAAATACTGGCTGTACCCGGGCACGCGGTGCTGTGGTTCAGTAATGTGTGTGTGACGCAGAGCCACAGCAACCTTCCCCTGTCTTCTAATCCTCCCCACCCTTCCTCTCTCCCTCGTCCCCTCGTCCTCCCCATCCTTCCTCTCTCCCTCGTCCCCTCGTCCTCCCCATCCTTCCTCTCTCCCCCGTCCCCTCGTCCTCCCCATCCTTCCTCTCTCCCTCGTCCCCTCGTCCTCCCCACCATCCCTCACTCCCCCGTCCCCTCGTCCTCCCCACCATCCCTCACTCCCCCGTCCCCTCGTCCTCCCCACCATCCCTCACTCCCCCGTCCCCTCGTCCTCCCCACCATCCCTCACTCCCCCGTCCCCTCGTCCTCCCCACCATCCCTCACTCCCACGTCCCCTCGTCCTCTCCACCATCCCTCACTCCCTCGTCCCCTCGTCCTCCCCACCATCCCTCACTCCCTCGTCCCCTCGTCCTCCCCACCATCCCTCACTCCTCCGTCCCCTCGTCCTCCCCACCATCCCTCACTCCCTCGTCCCCTCGTCCTCCCCACCATTCCCCACTCCCTCGTCCGATGCCTTCCCAAATGATGTGATGTTGCCATCAGAAAATTGGGAATATCAAATGATCTGATATATAAGAAAAACAGTTAAAAAAAACGAAATAAAAAAAAACAAACTGTACTCATGACATGAACGGTATGGTAAAAATGCTCAATTCATTTGACTATGTTCAATTGAGTTGAGTTGAGGTTCTTACCTCATAGTTGAACTCAATTGCACACAGCTCAATTCCAACGCAGTGTCACACAAAATAATTAAATCAAAATGAAAATAAATTGAAATCTATGAAAATTCTATTTGTCTATGCAATCGGAAACATATTTAGTATAGCGTGTGTTGCTCTTACGTGCAACAGATGGTGCTGTTTCTTAAAGAAAGTGTTTTTACCTGTCACAGGTGAGGCATCTATACCTACGAAATGAACGGTATGGTAAACAACGCAGCTCAATTCCAGCGCTGTGTCACACAAAATAATTAAATCAAAATGAAAATAAATCGAAATCTATGAAAATTAAATTTATCAATGCAATCAGAAACATTGAAATGGAATCGTAACATATTTAGTATAGCGTGTGTTACTGTTACGTGCAACAGATGGCACTGTTTAAAAAAAAATCATGTTTTTACCCGTCACAGGTGTGGCATCTATATAGTAGGTATATAAAAACAAGAGCGAATTCGAATGGAATGTTGTGTCAAAGTTTTAATGCAATCGGTGAAGAACTTTCGGAGATTACAGTGTGTGTTGCTCTTACGTCCAACAGATGGCGTGTTTCTCAAAAAACGCATGTTTTTTCCTGTCACAGGCGAGGCATCTATATAGTAGGTATATAAAAACACGCGCCTATTCGAATGCAACGTTGTGTCAAAATTTTAAAGCAATCGGTAAAGAGGTTTCAAAGATTTCACTCACATGAAAAACACAGATTTAAAAATAAAAAACATGTTTATTCCCGTCACAGACGTGACATCTATATAGTAGGTATATAAAAACCTGCCCAGATGCGAATGGAACGTTGTGTGAAAATTTCAGAGCAATCGGTGAAGAACTTTCGGAGATTAGCGGTTATGAACAACCGAACATTTCCATTTTTATTGATATAGATTTCTGTGGTCACTGTTAAATATGCTCAGATAGGTGAGTACTGGCAACACACCCTTTACAACACCCCATCAACACTGCCTGAACATCTTGTGGGGGGGGGGGGGTGACTGTTGTTCCTTGTTTGTGTTACATTGTGGCTTGTTGAGCTTGTCACTGTTGTTCCTTGTTTGTGTTACATTGTGGCTTGTTGAGCTTGTCACTGTTGTTCCTTGTTTGTGTTACATTGTGGCTTGTTGAGCTTGTCACTGTTGTTCCTTGTTTGTGTTACATTGTGGCTTGTTGAGCTCCTTGTTTGTGACATTGTGGCTTGTTGAGCTTGTCACTGTTGTTCCTTGTTTGTGTTACATTGTGGCTTGTTGAGCTTGTCACTGTTGTTCCTTGTTTGTGTTACATTGTGGCTTGTTGAGCTTGTCACTGTTGTTCCTTGTTTGTGTTACATTGTGGCTTGTTGAGCTTGTCACTGTTGTTCCTTGTTTGTGTTACATTGTGGCTTGTTGAGCTTGTCACTGTTGTTCCTTGTTTGTGTTACATTGTGGCTTGTTGAGCTTGTCACTGTTGTTCCTTGTTTGTGTTACATTGTGGCTTGTTGAGCTTGTCACTGTTGTTCCTTGTTTGTGTTACATTGTGGCTTGTTGAGCTTGTCACTGTTGTTCCTTGTTTGTGTTACATTGTGGCTTGTTGAGCTTGTCACTGTTGTTCCTTGTTTGTGTTACATTGTGGCTTGTTGAGCTTGTCACTGTTGTTCCTTGTTTGTGTTACATTGTGGCTTGTTGAGCTTGTCACTGTTGTTCCTTGTTTGTGTTACATTGTGGCTTGTTGAGCTTGTCACTGTTGTTCCTTGTTTGTGTTACATTGTGGCTTGTTGAGCTTGTCACTGTTGTTCCTTGTTTGTGTTACATTGTGGCTTGTTGAGCTTGTCACTGTTGTTCCTTGTTTGTGTTACATTGTGGCTTGTTGAGCTTGTCACTGTTGTTCCTTGTTTGTGTTACATTGTGGCTTGTTGAGCTTGTCACTGTTGTTCCTTGTTTGTGTTACATTGTGGCTTGTTGAGCTTGTCACTGTTGTTCCTTGTTTGTGTTACATTGTGGCTTGTTGAGCTTGTCACTGTTGTTCCTTGTTTGTGTTACATTGTGGCTTGTTGAGCTTGTCACTGTTGTTTGTGTTACATTGTGGCTTGTTGAGCTTGTCACTG